AAAGAGAGAGAGAGAGAGAGAGAGAGAGAGAGGGGGGGAGAGAGAGAGAGAGAGAGAGAGAGAGAGAGAGAGTATTATCATACGAGGGTGAGTCAAAAAGTACTGAAAGTTCGTTTATAACTTAAAGAAAAAAGAACACACTTGCAGCTATCATACCTCAAAATGAAGGAGCTTCTGAGGATCAAATTTTTATTTCTAAACATAGTCTCCACTTCGTTCAATAGCCACTGTCCACCTTTTACTACTACATAAACGGCGATTGTCTCCTTTGTTCTGGTACTCGAATATTGCCATAGAGTGAAAAAAAAACATTCTTTCCATGTTCAAATAATAATATGGTCTGACTAATGACTCGTCGAATTCCAATTTTCAGTCGTTTCAGTGTTTCAATGTAGGGTTAAAAAGTGAGTTTGTCCTCGTGGTAAAAACATTTTCCAGCTGACTCCTCTGAACGATGCTCGTCTTCCGGTTCTTTGCTCAAACATCTAATCCTAGGCAGTACTGAAATCAGTGAAATCCAGAGCTTGATCGTAGTAAACATTTTGAAATCTCTTTCGGACGTTACCGGTGGATTTTCCTTCTAAAACAAAAAATTCAATCACTGCTCTTTACCTTAGACAGACCTCCAAGAGGGTAGCCATTTTGATGTGACATAATTGGTCCAAAATTAACGAAACTCAACTCTTTGAAAAAACCTCCGTTTTTAACAGTTGACTTCAAAAGTACATGAGCAACATAGAATTCTACACTCTAAGTGTAGAATCCTGTGATGAGCAATTACTTGCCAGCTGAATTTAATCAAATTTGATGCAAAATTGTGCAAAATAGCGAATAACTAGCATTACTTTTTTACTCCCCCTCGTATGTGTGTGTGCGTGTGTGTGTGTCACATAGAGTTATCTCTAATCTCTTTTAACGGCAACAGTGTACATCATGGTGTGCCTTAAACTTAAAGTTAAAAGTAGATCTACGCACATTCGCGCAGCGATGCATTTTCTTTGGCACACCTAGCCTAAACAGTGGTGGTTGGCCAAGTGGGGAAGCGGGGAGAGAAGGACGTTGCCGATTGCCGAGGCCTGCCTACGTCAGTCAACTCGTAAACTCTGTCAGCTGGTATATATGCCAGATAGGTTTCAAAATAAACTAAATGAAGTCTTTGCTGTGAAGCTGTTTCTTTCAGTCTAAATTTCAATTTATAGTAGCTTGAGATATGAGATGTTGGATCAATGTGATTAAATTTATGGAGAAAGCTGAAACTTTGTTATTGTTCAGCAGTTTAAGTCCAAATTGTAACATGAGGTACATACCGCTCTAATACCTGGCAAGCAACACTTCATTGTTTACGGAAATCGGCGAAGGCGGTATCTTCAAAGTTTAAACTTCAGCAAGTGACTTCAAAGCTGTTCACTGGAATTTTTTCCTCAAATTATTGTCACGCAAAGTCTAGATCTAGTTTCATTGATGTAATTACTATCTTTGAGGTTAGTTTATATGTTGTGATTAGTTGTACTAGACTTTGTTTCTAATGTAAACATTGTCAGATGATTGCATGTTTTGATGAGTTTCTTTCTCACAGCAGACCTGTTTTCGATAGAGACCATTTTTTCAAAAAAATTATGATTTTTGTTGTCGTCGGCGCTCAGTTAGCAAGCTGTGTTACGCAATTTAAATTTGTAGAATTGTCGATCTTTAATATTCATATTATAATGAAAGCTAACGAGAGTCATAATGGCTGATATTTTGCTCGGGTCCAGTCTTGCGGGCGGGGGCAACAACCTACAACAACTACAACAAATAGTTCAAAAGAATCTGCCGACGATCTGATGTCTCTCATTGTCTGCTGATGATCATTGTAGAGTTCTACGCCTAGCTTTAAAAGTTGTAAGGCAAGGGCTCAGTCTTTATTACCTTAAAATCATAAAGTAAGGCCTAGATCAATCTAAAATGTAGGCTAGTTGAGGGTGTAGGGTCAGGGAAGACTAATTTGGAGTTCAAATAAAGTGGCTATTCTCACCGGGGTGAGAATAAAAATACGATCTAGATATCTACCTCTCACCCCGGGTGAGACTTGCCAGCGAAGGCCATTCTCACCCGATGTGAAACAAGACCTGTTTTTCCTCATTTTGGAATACTGACTATCGGTGTGGATGATCAAATTGATTTTAAAAAGCCAAGAATTAGAAAGTCTAAGGTAAGATTGAAGAATACTGGACCAGCGGACTGACTTTGCCTAGCCTATTCTCAAGTGTCTCAACCTTAGGAATTCATGATTTTCCCCAGTTTTTATCTCTCAATGGAGAATCGCAGACTGGCACATCTATTCATTAAGATATTGTCAGGGGGGAGACCCCCCTTTTTATCTTACTTTTATGAACGTACAGGTAAAGCTGATGCAGGGAGGGCCAGTTTAGATAGATCTAGATCTAGTAACTGGATAGTAAAACTCACGTCTCGACTGTTATCATTATAATCGAAAAAATGTTAGTAAATCCTGGAAATATTTAGGAACAAGGGTTGGAAGTCTGAACGGACGTCATGCTGGACTCAATTCAGAGTCCGAATACAATTTTTGTCTATTCGGACTCGCGAATCCGAATAGTCACTTCGTTTACAGTAACTAGTCTACACTCTTACCAACAGAACTTTATCTAATGAATAAGCTACAAAGACAACAGAACTTTCAGATTCTTTTGTAGCCTACTTATTAAAGGCTCACTATGAGACCTGTTCAAGAACGAGGAAGAAGAAGGAAATGAGACCTGTGAAGATCGAACAGCTATTTTCCTTCATTTTCTTTCAACCGCATACACAGATAAAAGTGAGCAGGCTAATAGCTTTTTATGCAAGTAATATTACTTACTACATAATGTCATATATGACGCTTTCATTAATTTAATCACATTTTTTGGTAATTATGTATTTTTATTCTCAGGGTTGGGTAAAGGTGTGGGTGGGGACATAAAAGAAGTCCCAACATGACAACTCTAACTTCAATACTGTCATTCCAATTCCTTTGAATTGAACATGATAAAATGAGAAAGGAAATAATTCTCTACAGAGGCACATTGGTCTATTACTATTATGAAAAGAATTCCCTACTCATACTTCCTGAAAAGATGATGGTATAATTGATTTATATTTTATTTTTCAGCCTAGTCAAGACAAAACGATGTCACATCGTGATCCTTTATCAACATTGACAAATTCTCCTCTGACGCCAAAAAGACCTCCCCCAAGCAAATATGGATCTCCATCAACTAGCAGAGCAGTTGGATTGTCTAGCCCCACTCCGAACTTGGCCAACTTTGCAGGTTATTATAATTGTAACTTGGGATATGTAGTCATAATCTAAAATTCTTGATTGGCATGGTCCATGGGATGTACATTGATTGAATACATATTGTTCTAGTTGCGATAGGATAGAGAGATGTAATGTCTCAGGCACAATTCACAAGTTGCACAAAGTGCATTTTATTGATGTCCTCATAGCATGTTTAGCTATGCTCAGTTTTCAACATAACTTTGAAGTTTAGAACAACTGCCATGGTATCTAATTCTATTATTTTAGACATAATTTTGTATCAAGTGGTCTTTTTTCAATGTGCAGCTCTATACATCTATTAAAGCACTCCTTTGATGTTCCATTATCGTGTTTATTGTTTTTTTTAAATAAATGTATTCTTTGTATAGGTTTTAATGTTTTGTTTGTGCCAGAATAGGACTTTATGACCCATCCATAGATGATTAGTTAGGCAGAGTTGTTGTTTTTTTTCTAGACTTTGTGACGCTTTTTTGTTTTCTGAACAATAAAAATCCAACAGATCTTGATGAAGGCAAACAGAGGAAAGAACTAAGGAGGAGATCACATGGACATGAACTCCATCGCAAAAATCTTGGCAGCCCCTCCTGTTCCCCAAGGTACATAATTTTTTATTTTAAAAAAAATCTTCGGTGTATTCTCATGATATTGTGAAGGGGAGATGTTGAGTGCTTGATTTCAAGGTACATGTCTCAATAAGAGGGATGCTATATTATGGACTGATGATATTTTGATGGTATAGCAAGGATTTTTATATGTTAGGGAGACATGGGAATGTGTAGTGTATAGCATGCAATTTACCACCACTTCTAATGCTGTAAGATATTTTTTATTTAAGTTTTGCTTTCAGCTGATGAGAAACCGCATACTGAGTCCGAGTATTATTATTATTTTACAGTGTGTTATGTTATTCAATTACAAAAGTGCTCTCTGACTCCTGAAAAAAAAATAATGACTTCTGTATCATCACAGCACCAGGCCTTCAGAAGCCTTGAATGGACTTACAAGCACCCAACTTGCCAACCACTATGCAGACTGCATCAAGCTCTCCACTGAAAATGTAAAACATGCGTGATTTTTAAAATATATTCTCTTATTTAATTTGTTATTTTGATTATAATGAGTTTGTTTTGTTTTGGGTTTTTAAAAATTATTTTTCGAGAAGCAATTATTTAACATTGATTAAATAAACACTAATGTCTGTGCAACATGCTTCCTATTCCCTTTTCATGGTCACACATAATAAATATTTATTCTTTTTTGTGTGTGTGTAATTCTCCAAGCGGATGATTTGTAGAAGTAATCTAGATATAAAGGTACCAAGGTCATGGTATTTGTCAAGACTTTGAAATGGATTCAAAACTTCCTAAAAAAGACTTCATCAAGGTTGCCCAATCCATCATAAGCAAAAATGAACATTTCAGGAAATGTGTGAGGCTGAAAATAGCTACATCTGTGAAAATGTATTCCGCCAAAGAAAAGGAAAAGAATTGTCGGTTTCATTTATTCCACTTTTGTTACAGAATTACAACATTTTGCCTAACTAACACTTTCAGTCTTCATTTGGGTAATGTTTTTAGCTTGTTAATTAATGCTTTTATAGTATCAACAAATTTTATGAGCCTTTTCCAATTGAATTGCTGAGATGTCCCATATATTATTTGAGTTATAATATCATTATTTAATTGTTCAGTATAAATAATTCCATTGTTTCTAATATTTCCATTTTTGTATTATGAATTTCAGAAAATAAATGCCAAGAATGCCTTTGGTCTGCATTTGATTGATTATATGACTGAGCTTGTGAAGAAGAAAGAGTTGGAAAATTTTCAGGTTTGTAAATTGATAAATGATAGTTCTTTAGAAACGGTGTTAGTTGTTTTGCATTCTATGATGTTTTGAGTTGGTTTTTTTAACCGTGGTAATAGAGGAGAGCAACCCAGACCAACATCTTATCACTTTGCAGTCACTTGGCGCAATAAAGCACGGTGAAAATTATCCATTCAGTCACCTGCCAGGCGTGAGAAGTCAGTTGCAGTCGCTCTCCTGGCTGGGTGACCAGATAGTGTATTTTGTACTGCTGGCTGTGTGGCTGCAAAGTGTTAAACAAGGAAATTATTGGCGACTTTAAAATGAAGCAAAACTTCTATGTTGAAAGAAATTTGACCTTTCACTTGTCATGTCATATACTTTTGCGAAATATCTGGGGTTTTTTACTTTCTGGCCCTCTCATTCGAATCTTGTGCTTCTATTTTTGTACATGTACCTGTTCAAAAGTTAACTTACCTGGGATCTAAGGTAATTACCTACTGAAATTTCGAGGCTGAGGTTCTAATCTCAAAGGTCAGCCAGGCATATTGAGATCAGTAGAAGTCAGCTTGAAGACCAAATGATCTCTGTTAAGGTGCAATATTCTTGCCACCCTTCATATGATGCTGAGTGGTGACAGATGTTATGACTTAAACAGCATCAGCATCAAGTTTGAAGTCTGTCAGAGACACAGCCTGTGGTGAATTACTGACTACTGTCTTCTGGCACGATACCATTTCAAACAATGACCAACACAAACGGTGATAGGTCGTTTTAAGAATGTTGTACTTAAAAAGCAGTGACTTGTTCTTCAATCAGTCTTCTAATGATTTACTTGTTCTGTATGCCTAGGTAGGCTTTGAGATTAGAATCTCAGCCTCCAAATCTTTGCCAATGGAAAACCTTCCTCTGCCTGATCACCCCGGAAATAGAGAGACAAAGACTGAGATGACTTGGACTTTTACTGCGTTTGCCAATGTCGTGTATTGCTGAGATTTCCCTCCGTTGGACTCCAAATGGTAAAAAAAAAGTTGTGGAAGATCCACTGGGACAGAGAAACACTCAAGATCGAGATGGAGAAGCAAGAACAGACCTGAAGTTGATCAAACGTCAAGAAAAAAAGACAGGACCAAATGGTGATCTTTGGTGGCGGCTTTGTTAAAATAGATCGTCATGTGAAAAGGATTAAGTCAGTCTGGTCTTGGTCCAAGTGAAGATGGTTTGAAAAATAGTGATGATGATGGGAAAGAGGGCAAGTGGGATCTCTCTACTGTTTTCTTATGTTTTTATGCTTTGTTTCACTTTTGGTTGTCTTTTTTTGTCTTCACTAGGTTGCCAGTTCCACTCTTGATGCAAGTGTCAAGATTTATGCTGGCCGTGTTGACTTCATTCACACACATGCATACAAAGTCCTCAGTGGTCTTGGAGGGAATCAGTCCAAAGCTAATGGAAATGGTTAGTTATGGTCTTCAAGTCAGTTTACAGAAATTTATCATGCCCTAAGCCTGGGAAGAGGGAGGGGGGGCATTTGTTATTACACAGCACCAAAGGTGGACACTGTCTTATATTAAAATGGAATGATACATATTCATATAAGCATCTATGTTATCTCTCCTTCTCTCTGGGCCGTAATCTAAGAGCTTTTGTCTTTGCAATGACCTGTTTTTGTAGTACAGCATTAATTCTTGCAAATAAAAACAGACACTAATAAAAACGTGGAAAACTGTTGGGTTAGTCCAGTATTAGCAGTTCTTGAGTTAAGTTCATTTGTGACGCATGTTTAGTTTGTTTGGTCTTATAAGATAGGAGATTGCTTCTTAAAGATTCTGGAATGTGATATATGTTTTCTGGAATGTGATATATGTTTTCCTGCTTTAAATAATTTTTTTGGTTTTTATTTTGTAGATGAAAATGAAGATCCAGACAACCCCAATGAGATGGATGATGCTGCATCAAAGGCAAAAAAAAAGAAAAAGGTACACTTGTCTTTTCTTCACCTGTGTGCAGGTGTCTGAATGGAAATGTTATGTTTATTTTGCATTTACTGCCTAATGATAGATGCATGTTTCAATCTGGAGTAACTTCCTCCTTGAACTTTTTCTTGTTTTTATAGACCATTTCTGTTTGTAGCAGAAGTTAGAGAAGTTATCAAAATTGCTTTAATACAAGAAAAAGTATTTGTTTATATTTATGAGCCCAATATAGGAAAGAGGAAGAGTGGCAAGAGAAATCCCTAGCTAATGAATAACATCTCTTCTGATTAACACAAGAGAGGTAGTTTAATACTTATACAAAAACTGTTTAAACTTGCAACAGATTTTGTGTAAAAATGATGAATTCCAGGTGCCATTTGTCTTTCCTTACCCGGGGATTACTTGACTATTGAGGAGTGAAAATTTTGCCAAGGATCTTTCAGTCATAAAACAATGACAGTATTCTAATAGTTCATGGAAGAAATGAGAGAGCATCACTTCACCTTAATTTTTTTACATCATATACTTAAACGTTTGCAGGTTTGACATCACGTTGCATGTACATGTTTTTAGCATGGCATTCTACCTAATCTAGCTGTATTTATTCATGGGTAGTTTCCATTGCCACAAATACCCATGTGGCAGGCCTGCGCTTGACACATTACGCGTGCCTGTTGGGGCTTAAGGCTAAATCGAAGTCTACAGCACACCACAGCCCTCTCTCGCTTCACCCACTTCGTGTGCTTGCAGTGGTGTGGCTTGCATGGGCTTGCTCCATCACTCAAATCACTGCGTTACTCTCTCTCTCTCTCTCTTTCTTACTTTTTACACATTGTTAACGAGCCTTTGGCCCTGCTATAATCGATTAGGCTCCGATGAGGCCCTGTTATTGCTGATAACTTTTAATAGAGAAAAATAGTAGGAAAAAACTGGAATTAAAAAAGTCCGTTAATAACAGGCCTGTTATATGGTTTCGACTAATTGTTTCGTAAACTTGTTGAAAACACTGCAGTTTTACGTTGACGAAATATGAGGGAAAATTTGCGTTTGATAGTTTTCGTATATTGCTATTTAGGGGTCGCTGTTTTTTTAACATCATGAAATAATCGCTATACGTAATATTAGATGATGCACCGATTCAATTGTCTTTTCAAACTTTTGTATTCCAGGCAGGAAGAGCCCAGACTGTAGAAACAAACTTGAAAAACATAAATGCTGACAAGTTTGACTTGGAGTTTGAAGTGGACCCAATGTTCCAGATAATGTCCGCTGCCTTTGATGAAGGAGGTGCTAGTGGATTACTACTGAACAGACTGAGGTGTTATGATGACAGTCAAAGCCTTATCCTCGACTCCAGCACAAATGTTAACGTTGTTGAAGATGTTGAACCTGACAATTCACAAGAATCAAGAAAGTCTCTTGACATTTCTGCCCTGAAAGGTGTGCATGATTAACTTCAGTTAGTCAGTCCCTTTTATTTACCATCATAGTATTTTCCCCTGAGGATTCAGAATGCTGTCGACCCAGTTTTAATCTGTTTTCTTTCTAATTTAAAAGTTTGGTCGTGTCACAAGTGTCATCACAAAGAATATTCTTTCCTTTTTTATTTGTGCATTGTAAGGTGATTGTGTTTTTATTTTTCATCATTTTCCATACATCATGGGGGGGGTTACTGTTGGTAAATCTTAAATCTGTTCAGGGCAAAAGTTGGCAATTGTCTTACTGGTTCTCCATAAATTTTGTTCGACAGTTTGGCTGTTGCTCCTGTTTAGTGTGCATACCTGTATAGATTATATTTTAACCCTCGTCCTGCACCTGTATAGATTATATTTTAACCATCGTCCTTCGGGGGTCGGATTTATGTCGCCCGATAGGCCTATTTCAGCACCTCACCTGCGTTCTGGTCCCGAGTCAGTCTAGCCCCTGGCTCAGCGCACGCGCGCTGAGCACCATCTCCCATTGAATTCGGGTCCCGAGTTTGATCCGCATTCACGTAGCTCAAGTATGTGCCCATCAGTCTCTTAGAGTTTGTGTACATTTGTGGTCTTCTTCTTGAACTGCATGCGTTGGTTCGTAACCGAGGCATACGTCTCATTCAAAACATGCCAAGTTTGTAGCTCTAGATGTTTGTCCAATGAAATTATAGAAGAAATTGACCCACTTAGACATGAGGAGCTCGAAAGTATAGTCAGGAAACAAGACTTCCATTTTTCTATACAAAATCTTTCAAATGAGCTTGATTTTGTATGAAATGACACTACCTGATAAAAAATAAGCTTATTTGATAATTTTGAATACCATTGTGCAGGTACAAAGAGCAATTTGAGTGCGAAACATTGGGAAATTGACCTATATTATCCTCTTTCCAATCCCAGGTCATTCATAACAAAAAGAGCTTCTAGAAAGGTTATTCGAATGGGCGTAACTACTCCAAATGTCTTATCAGCTTATGAGAGGGGGTTATTCATGTGTTTGTAACACTTTATAAATAGAAAGCTATGAAAGAAAGAGCATTATTTTCATCGTCGATTAACACACTCCCACGGTATTCACGTAATCGGTTGCTGATAAGATTCGCATCTCAGCACAGACACAGGACAAGAGTTAAAAGATCTTTGCAGTTACTTATTTAAATGCGGATGTTTTGGATCTTTTTTTTCCACTCCCCCAACATGAACTCATCTATAGTCAACTGTAGTTATTTGTCTATTTTTATGTATTCAGCTGTCCTACACAGACCATTTTTATTCACACTTTGATGACAGGTTATGTCATTTAAAAATAAAAATCATGTTCACTGTTTTCTTGCCAAAACAAGCTGAAGTTTGTAAGCCTTTTATGCATGTATGTGTACAATGTGTTATGTGAAGCTTTGCTGGCTCTGTCAGATAATATTTTTTTGTTTTTTCTTTTCAGAATTGCTTGGAAATGTTAAGCTAGAAGATAGAAAGATATGCCCATCTCTCTGTGACTTTAAGTTTATGGAGTGGAACAAGGATGTGAGTATTTTGTCTTGGCTTTCAACCATGTCATTCTAAATATCAAGAGGAAATGGGTTTTCATTTTCTTGAATGGAAAATGACTGGATAGATTGAAAAATGTTATTTCATTTTTCTTTACGCGACCTTGGCTTGTAGCTTGCCTTTCCTGTGTGCATACACATCTTTGATACTCAAGATTGTTTTTATTTTATATTTCACAAAATAATGGGTGTTATTCAGTAGCTTCCAATTACGTCTTTTGAAGTTTGAACCTGTAGTGAATGTGGAAATGATCTGGTAGATATCCCATGTATTAATTTTATAGTCTTTCAACAGTTGTACTTTTTTACACTTTCAGAGCAAGATGCTGGTTCTTAATGTAGAAGTGTCTTTTTACTTTTTCACTTTTTCACTAAAGTACAAGCAGTGCTTCCACTCTTCCGTATTTTTACGGAATTCCGTACTTTCTGCCAGTTCCATACTTGTTCCTCCATCATTATCAATTCCCTCCGTAAAAAAAACTGCGATAGCGTAAGACTAGATATCTACTGAAATTCCGTAGCAAAAGATCCGTACTCGCCTTCGTGTCGTCTTGTATAAGCTAAGAATATTTACGGTAATTCTCTCGGCAATAAGTTAATGTTATAGAGACCTGCCAGATTGCACATTTCCTGCAATCGGCCATTATTCTGCTATGCCCCATGCGTTCATTGCGGGTGGGTCGGCAGTACATTTTTTACCTACAAATTGATCAAAGTCTGGCGAACTTTTTGTGCCGATTTCCTCCTTTCTATCATTCATTCACTCCTTCCGTTTGTCTATCTTCGGACTGTTGCCGCGGCAGGAAAATCTGCGCGTTGATCAAGTAAATTGACTTGTGGTCTTAGACAGGAAATTACTGTCAGAAAGAAACTTGTTTGCAAATTTGTTGTCTAGTTCTCGAGAAATTATCAATGCGAAGATTTTACTGCACGGGAACGCGATAAGGGCCGCAATGAAATAAATCATGCTTAAACTACTAAGATCAAGAATGATTCTCAGTGGTGTTCTGAGGTTGTGACATGCAACACTCAGAAGTGAAAATTGTGGAAAATTAGGGTATACGCTGGGTAACTGTATTGTGAAGGTACATATCTATTCATTATTCCCAGGTTTGCCTTCTGTCAATCGTGCGAAGACATATTAATTGAATTATAGTAGCAATGGAATGGGAACCTGCTTTTAAACATTGCCAGCAATGGAAAGATATGTAGTAGGTGAAAAAATCAAACAAGACAAAATGTTGGCTAACAAATAAATGTTATGGGTTGGAGGCAATCTCTTCAAACGGGCTCCCAAATGCCATTTTTAACCCTCTAACAGCCGTAAGTTTCAATTTCTTAGGGGGCCCACCGGGACTCTGTCCCTGGACCCTGCTGACAGAATTTTCCTTACTTTTCAGCTTCAGCTGGTGGGAGCACTGTACAAGAAAGCTTCATTTACATCTCAAAATTATAATGCATTCATCATGTCTGGATCACTATTTAGATAACGATATGTCCTTTATGGCATTTCCTTGCAATAAAAAAAAAATCTCACAGATAGTTGTGCTATTGAAGTTTCTTTGTAACACATTTTATTCACTGGATTTCTTCATAAACACCCTTTCTAGTTGGCGTTCAGCATGCAAAATATCTCCTTGCTTTCAGATGTCAATCATGCACAGGAAGTTCTCCGATTTTGCATTTGACCCAACAGCCGAACCTCAACATTTGCCTAGTGTTGAAGAAGAAGTTGAAGCCATTGCTCATGAGGAAATCGATGAAATGGACAATGTTGAAGACGAACCAGGTATGTGTGATGCTGTAGTGGTTTCTTAACATTTCTTAGAGTGTGTCAGTTGGTTTAAGAAAATGTGTTCCAGTAAGTAAGAGAAGAAAAGAATCTTTTCCTTTTCTCTGCAGAGAAGATTAATGTGGAGAATGTAAACTTGTGTTGCTTCAGTGAAATAGTAGCTCATTTCAAAATATGAACTGAATCATGTTTGTGTGAGAAAGAATGTCAGGGTGAAATCTTTTTTTTTTTTCAGTGTGGTTTTTTTTTTTTTTTCTTTAAATTGTTTTTTATAATCTTCCCTAGCCTGTTCATTTTTCATTGGCAGTATTTTTTTGCTTTAAATGTTTTGAAAAATAGATTTCTTGTCTTGTTTGGTAGTATGCCCTGAGATAGAAAGATGAATGTCTCATAAGATTGTCCAGTTGTCCAAATTGTCATTTTTCTGTATGTTGTGTGTGAGAAAGGTGGTGTGTGGTGCGCTTTATGTTTAATTTTTAGAACATTCAAGGTGTTTTCCCTACTTGTTATTCAGTGTGCTCAGTACTGATTAAAACAGATAGGTCTTTTTCTTTTGGTTTAGTAAAGGTAAAAAGATTTCCTATCATTTGAAGATTATTTTATCTAGCCATCAAGAATATGAAAATGAAAAGATATGAAAAGCATGGCTTCATTTTGATGGGGTTTTTTCCTGCAGTAAATTCCCTTTGATTGCGGTGATTGTTTTGTTACTTTGACCTCTTTCCCTCTACTTTATTGAAAATAATTATTTTTCTTTCTCATGCAGATGCTGGTAGCATTTCCAATGATTCAGGGTCTGTTACTGCCGGTGACACTAGAACTGCAGAGTTTGTAGAAAGTGCCTTCAGTGATCTCACGTAAGTAATATACTCAAACTATGTCCATGGCTGCCAACTTTTCAAAACCAAAAGACAGGCCCTACCCACACACGGGGTCAAAGGGATGGGCACTGGCCAAATAACCTCCGTCTAAACTCTTTACATACACTTTTTTGCCTTCAATGAATTCAAGCTTTTCAAAGTAGACCAGCAGAAAAAGAATTGGTTCACTGATTTATAAATTTTGTTCTCATTATTATTCGCAGATCTGGTCTAGAAAGTTCAGAATTTTTATTCAGAATCAGCAAGTCCATGAAAAGAAGTATTAAAAAACAAAGAATAGGTGTTTTCCGCTACTAAAACTTCTGTACTCTGACACTGAAAGTGGGTGGTTGGATGGTGCTCTGGTGTGGTTTGCTCCTTCTTTCCTTTCAAACATCTATCGTCCTTGTCTCTTCTCTTTTCTTTTTTGTGTTTGTTACTCTCTTGTAACACCTCTAATCTTCTGCACTTACATGACCTTATTGTGTTGCAAGTGCAGTAAAACTTTTACGAAAAAGACCTTGAAAAAAGTATTTAAGTGTGTTGTTTAACTACTGGTTCGCAGCTGTGTATGTTTAGTCTGAGCTTTTCAGTGCACTCCTCTAATTTTTTTTCAATTGTAACCAAAAGGCGTGTAACACAATTGTGTTACAAACACCTTAAAACTCTTACTATGACATTGATGTTAAGTTGTTTGCATAATTTCTGATTTGTTGTTCCTTCATTTGAATTTGTCATTTAGGCAGGGGAGCGTCGGGAAGCTGCGTCAGATCCTTGCTATGCAGCCTTCTGATTACTCTTATTTCAACAAAGTTTTGATGCAGACCTGGGCTGGTCCAGCTCACTGGAGGATAGCTGCAGCTGCCAAAACCTGTAAGTATATATATAGAGGCCATTATGGTTAGCATACTCCATGAGATGTTTATTATATGTTTGAGGTGTGATGTGGTCCATGCGGTTTGTCGTATGTAATTTTCTTCTTAGCTTATGGTTGTTCATCCTGTATGGCACTTAATGAAAGTTCTGCATGCATGACTAAATTTTTGTGCTCTGTTGTTGCCCTTGTTTTTTGTTTTTGGTTTGGTTTATTTGTTTTTTTTGTTTTGGGGGACGTGGGGGGAGGTCCCTCAATGTATGAGAAAGTACTCCAATTCTTTGTAATCAACTATCCCAATACTGTGAACATTCTCAAAAGTATCCTTAGCTTTCAGACTGTGAAAAAGTTTAGGTTTTTTTTTCATCACAATGTCAAGCATTTGTCTCAACGTTGTCTGCAATGTCAGGCAGTAAACCAGGATGGGATGAAATGACATTTATTCGGTTGACAGAATTATGAGCAGCAGCAACAATAACAGTCTTTAATAAACATTTTATTCAGTTGTTAAACATTTTGTTCTTTCCTATTATAATTTTTTTATAAAAATAGGGACACAGAAGTTTTTAATCAAGCTGTATAAAAGGGAATTTGTTGTTAAACATTTCGCAGTCTAATGTTTAAAAAAGAATGCTTAACCCTCATCCTGCAGGAGCCGGGTTTATGTAGCCCGATAAGCCTATTTCGGCACCTCGCCTACGTTCTGGTCCCGAACCAGTGTAGCTCCTGGCTCAGCGCACGCACAGCGCGCATTCTCTTACGTGTCATTCGGGTCGCGAGTCGGATCCCCATTAACGCAGGTGTGTGTGCGTCAGTCTGCTTGAGTTTGTGTGCATTTGTGGCCTTCTTCTAGAACCGCCTGCGTTGGTTCGTAATCGAGGCATACGTCTCATTCAAAACATGCCAAGTTGGTAGCCCTAGATGTTCGTCCAATGAAATTATAGAAGAAATTGACCCACTTACTTAGACATGAGGAGCTCGAAAGTATAGTCAGGAAACAAGACTTCCATTTTTCTATACCAAATATTTCAAATGAGCTTGATTTTGTATGAAATTATGCTACCTGATAAAAAATAAGCTTGTTTGATAGTTTTGAATACCATTGTGCAGGTACAAAGAACAATTTGAGTGTAAAACATTCGGAAATTGACCTAAATTATCCCCTTTCGAACCTCAGGTCATTCATAACAAGGTCCAGAAAGGTTATTCGAATGGGCGTAACTACTCGTAATGTCTTATCAACTTGTGAGAGGGGGGTTATTCATGTGTTTGTAACACTTTATAAATAGAAAGCTATGAAGGATAGAGCGTTATTTTCATCATCGATTTGGCTAACACACTCCCCCGGTATTCATGGCGAAAACACACGTTTCCCGGCGCGCGCGCTGTACACCAACAGTACACACTGAGTGACCCCGGTGGCCTGCCCGGCACGTCCGACGTAGTCAGTTGCTGATAAGATACGCATCTGGGCACAGACGCAGGATAAGAGTTTTAAGTCAATCAGATTCAGAACAGCTGTTTTCTTTCTTTATAACATTTAAGTGATTTAAAACCATAAAAGAATGATTGTGTTTTAGTCTTTCTTTCATTATGTTGGTTTCTGTTCCATTTATTGATTTTTTTATATTGTGCATCTATTCAATGTTTGTAAAGCTGCAGGTAAAGGTAGTGACGGCAAATCCCGGAAAAAAAGGCAGAAGAAACCCCCATTGCGCCTGACTTATTCTACAAAAGAAACAGATCTCGATAAACTGTTCAAGGTCTCAAAGGCGACAACTGTTACTCAAGCCACTTGGTCCAAGTACACGAAGAAAAGAACAACCCTCCCTGAAGACCAACAGCTGGATAGTCAAGATATGCTGTTCCGTTTGTTTCACAAACCTCACATAATGGTAATTTTTCTATAACGAGTGCGTTCAAGTACATATAATTCAGAGTAACAAGTTTTTGTTGATCCATGTCAGCAGACAAGCAGTAGTATGTGCTGCTGTAGTATGGTAGTTATCTTGCATTTTGACCAATTAGGACTGTTCTGTAAGCTTTATGAGTTCTTTGTTACTCTCAAGGTATCAATTTCCTTCATATTCATTGAAGTTTTCTGAACCTTGCTTCTTCGTACCAATGATGTAACAACATGATTTAGATGTTATGAGATGAAGTAAGGAAGTTGAAGGATGAAAATATTTACTCTGGTCCTGCGGATAAGCATTGGGCACCTCTGTGACCCACTTTCATTTCCCGACAATCATTCAACCATGCTCCTAGAAGAGCCGAGGTTAGACCACAGTCGACTGGAAAACATGCATGGCAAGTTGATGACACAGTGTCAGTGATGAGAACTAAGTTGTCTTTCTTTTCACCAGACCATAAGATGTTGAAAATAACCCTTGTAGTACTTCTAGAAATTCTCAAGTGTTATACTAAGTTTGTCTATTTTTAGAATATTCATTTGATACTCATGTACAAGTGAACTTTCTAAAAGTAGTATGAGTTGCATTAGGGATGAAATGATATTGTGTGTTAAAGTATTCTAGTTTGAAACACATGAAAATGGTGTTTGGGTTGAAAGATAGATTTGATGTTTCCTAGACCCTTTCAAGCTTGGTGTGTCTAGATGTCAGGCTCAGTAATTTGAATTCAAATTTCATCGGATGAACAAAAGTAGCATCAGTACTGACTCTATGCTTTGTGAAACTCGACATTTCTTGGTATGCACACAAACACAAGCAGACATGCGTGCACGCTTGCACCACTTCACTTGCACAGATGTATGGAATCTGGGGCAAAGTGATCATGCATAATAAGCGATCGCACAATAACAGGACCAGGTGGAACTTATTGTGGCCAAAAACATGGGACAAGCAGGATAGGGGTTCACATAAATGTTCATGGTAATTTTTAAAAAACATGGTTCTTTCTGTATTCCTCATGTGAAGGCCCATCATTGAGAATGGAGTGACTTTTTTATTTATGTAAGATTTATGTGTCAAGTGCTGTTTTCTCTCTACAGATCAAATGGCAGTCTGGAGATTCCATTGGAGTAGATGAAGGCATTGACAACTATGACTACAACAACAAAAATGATGTGGAAAACTTTTGCCCACTTGTTCGGGTAAGAGTAACAGGATCGCTTTTGTTAGGCAAAAGATGTCAACTATTTCTGTGATGGCTTTCTGATTATTATTGTGTCTAGTTTTGCTTTTTGTTTGTTTTTTGTTTTTCAAAGAAACAGATGATAATTATATGAAGCTCTATGTTATGAGAGCTTATTTTGTGCATTTTTAGATTTTGACAAGAAGCCTTTGACAGAAATATTAGATTATATGTGAAGCTCATTGTTACTATTTGATACGCAATTAGTTAGCATTTATGTGGAATGCATTGCAGACTTGCTCAAATATAATTCTAGAAAATAGCAACCTCGAATTTCTTTTGGGGAGCAAATCTTAAAACTTATGTGCAGGTAGACAGTGCCTATGTGGTTATGTGTTTTTTTCTGTGAACTGACCTGCTTTATGCTTTATGGAAATTTTTAAAGTTTGAATTGTTCAGCCGTGTAATGTTACTGATGAACAGTTCTTGTCAGTTTCTAACAGTCATTACTCACATGTTGTTTTTTCATTGGTCTTATGAATTGGAGAATTTATTTGTAGACTATCTGTTATGAAGGTGAATGCTTCTCTCTCAAGTGAAAGAAAGTGCTTAAAGGGCAATGAAACAGGAGGTAGTAACTCGCCTAAAAGTTTGATGAAGTTTAAAGTGTATTTTTTTTAAATGTGTTTTTGGATTGAAGGGGGAGTGTTTATAATTTGTAGTTGAATGGTTAAAAGTGAATGGTATTTTAAAGGGTCAAGAAGCATTTAACAAGCTTTCTTACGTATTTTGTGAACGCTCTGATTCCTTCCTCAAACAGGGGGACAGTGATGATGAGTGCTCAGGAGGCTTTGACCTCTCCAATGAAGTGAACTTTGCCCAGGCCTCACAGGACAACATGTCTCAGCAAAGTGAATTCTCGGACTGTGATTTCAACGGCACAGTCCTCACCCAGGACAAACTTGTCGCTGCTCCCCATAAGGTTTGCCATTATATTATCTATTTTGCAAAAACTAAAAACTTACTTGTGCAATTCTGTTTTCAGTCACTGCAGCCCAACACAAATAAATTTTCTATGACTCCAGTTTTTTTCTTTGTGTGTTCCACAACAGCCCAAGTCAATTTTTGTTGCTGCTGTTTTGAACTGAAAAGCTTATTCTCTATTTATATATTTTTACTTCTGTTAACTCATTGACTACCAGCCATTTAGGCCTGAATGAACCCCTGGATACCAGCCAAGTGAAGGTTATTTTTAAAGATTGATACTGTAAGTACCTATTTTAAGATTTCTAATAAAATTGCATTTTATACATATGCAAATAATGTTTTGCTTTAAAAGAAGCAAAAACGGATAATTGTAATTAGTTTTAGATTTGTGGGTTTTAAATTTTAGCTTTTTTTTTCCCCCCTCATTATTTTTCAGACTTGAAGATAAGATAATCATGCAAAACATTATTTTTTTAAAGTGGGGGGGAATATTCAGGATGTTTACCACTGTCATGGAATGAATCAAGATTATAAATGTGAATAATGTTGCAGCTATACCTGTTTCTCTTTCTGCTTTCATTAACCGAAAGTCACACTGATTGTGTCCATGTAAAATTTAGCAGCGTTTAACAAATTTTAACTGTGGAACTGATTTAAATTGACATGAAAATGGCTGTAATTTCAATTACTGAACCCATGGTAACAACATTTGATCTGGTAGTACTATTGGTGCATGAAAAACTGTTCTGAAGTTCAATATGGCAGGGAATGTGAGTTAGAATAGTTAGATGTAACAACAAAGCAGAAATATATATATATGGCAAATGTTGTGATGATGGAAGTTGATGAGTGGATGAATGTGTTTCATGTTATATGGTAATGACAGAAAAAGATACGAGTCAAAATATTGATAGAAGTGATATAATTTTTCTCGGTGTTTTCAAAACATCAAGAAATGATACTTTTGAACTTTAATGAATGGGACAAATTGTGGATTGCTCTACCAGTAGGTACCTTGAGGAGAATGCAAAGTATATTTCTTTGAAATGTTTGCATATCCCTTTGCTATTGCTATCATTTTATTCTCTTTGCTTTCCCTTCTTGAATCTTCAGGATGCTTTCTACTTCATTCAATTGGCAAGTTTCACCTATATATCCAGTATTTACTACTAATTTACCTATTCCGCACATTTGCCAGTTGATAAGTATGGAGGACACACGACAGCACCAAACTGGTTATTTGCTTGTAGCAAGTAGAAAAGAGGAGTGAGAAAAAATATGTGGCCAGTAGGCATATGTTTTTCCATTTTTGCTGAAAGCCATGGGAGTTTTGTAACCTCTGGCCTGAAAAAAACATTTTGACCAGATATAATTGATTTCGAGTAAAATGTGAATAAAAGATAATGTTTGTATTTCAAGATTTTTCTGCTCTATTTACTTTGCCTACTGCTGTCTTTTTAATGCACTTCTTGGTCACTGGCAGTGGTTTTAAGCTGTGAATGCTCATCAAAATATGGATAAAAGTGTTCCTGTGGAAAAAAACTTACGTTTGCTATTTGTCTCTGCAGGTCCAGAAAATTGACATCAAGTATGCTAAGTCAGCCAAGCGGGTTGATGTTAGAAAATTGAAATCTACCATGTGGCATATACTTACAAGGAAAGAAAAGCTTGTAAGTCCCAACATCTAGTTGTATGGATGTTTGTTGTCAAGATGACATTCATGTTCATAAATTTACGTGTTGTGTGTGCTTCTTTGCGTTAACACTCAGTACTTTGAGACTGGGAGTGTTGCCATGAGTGTCTGAAAAGTGGTTGTTTTATTTCAAGTTGTTGGTTTTTTTTACAATTTTTTTTTCTTTACCTTGAAGGTTTCCATGAAGAAGAAAAAACCCTGCTCTCATAGCCTAAGTCCTTAGTATGGTCAAAGAGTCTACATAACAAGAGGGGCCACTTCTCTCTTTGAGCCAATTAAAATAGTGTCCTCAAAATTCGGTGGCACCCTCTTCGCAAAAGCGCACCTTTTGCGAACAGAGTTATCCTACTTGAGTTTAAAAAATCAAAGTGAAACTAGCAAGTTTTTGAATGAATTTCGGAAGAACGCTTTTTTAAAATGGTTACGCTGACAAAAAACCTCTTCCGGAAGAAAGGATGATTGTTTTCTTCGTTTAATTTGACTTTAGAATGAAAGACGAGAGGTCATTAAAATAAAAAAAACCCTAAAACTCCGCACTGAACGAACCCGAACTGCTGATGAACAGCAGTCGATCTGCGCACGCAAGGAGGTGCTATTCCTATTCTTCTTCTGGAAAAACGAAAGAGAGCTTCAAAACAGACTGCAGCGCCATCTGAAGCAGAGAGCGAACTTCCTGCGGACACTTTTTTGGCTGAGTGGCCCATCTTGTTATTTACTATCTTTGGTATGGTTCACTTTCATGGGGTTGGTTGTTTTTTAGAAAAGTATCATGACCTTCCTATATTTTGTTTGTTGACCTCACTGTTACTCTAATCCTTGCAATTTTCTCTTCATTTTCTTCCCTCCAGCAAGCTGATGTTCCTTTGCCGGTGCCAATAGCACAGGATGACACATTGTCTGACAATGGTGACATGTCCGGGCAACAAAGTTTCAGAGTCCTAAAAGATGTTCTCCCATCCAATATCTCATCTGGCATGGCCAAAAACCTCACTGTGCAAACAGTATTTGCCTGTTTACTATATCTGACCAATGAAAAGGTATAGAAAAATAACGAAAAAAGTGCATTTCTCAAGACAATATCAGAGAAAAATAGCAATTCATTTAAACAATTAGAGAGATCAAAACAAATTAAATTTAATCTGTTTCTATGCAGTTTACTAATTCATAATGTGGCACAACTTAAGGCATAAACTTTGTCATCGATTTATGTGTCTGGTGGCGTGAATTGTTCATTATATAGCAAGGTAAATGTTTGTTCCTTTTCAAAACTTAAGGTATCTGATGTTTTATTTTCATCTTTTAAATCTTCCTCATTATCCCTTTGGCCTAGTGTAATGGAACATAAACATAGTTTACAGTATACCTCTCACGGTAGCAACATTTTTGCTTTGATCAGGCAACAATCATCTTACTGAATAGGCTGAGCATGCAGGTTTATGCACAATATAAGATACTAAAAAAGATATCCACAAACCTCTTTTGCTATCATGATAGTCAGTGAAATGGGTACAAAGGATTTTATTTTTGTTACAGTATTCTCCGCCTTAGCCCTAACTCTGGCAAGTGGTTTTAACAGGAATTGCAGGGCTAATCAGCCAAAACGTGCACATGCTTTACAAATCAAATTTATGGACTTGTATCAAATAAAAACCCTACAAAAGTTGTTTTTTTTTAAAGATAATTGAATGAACTTTTATATTTTGCCTTTGAACATATGATTTGATTTAATTTACAAGGGGTTATGTAACTTTGAAATCCAAGATGGCTGACATAAAAAATGAACATGCTCATTCGCATATTCACCAATCTAATGTATTTCATGTTATAAAAAATGTGAGATAGCAGAAATATGGGTTTTTCAATTACCTTTCAGAAAATGTATAGTTTTGTTTGAGAAGAACAGGTAATGAGTTATGACTGTTTCAATTTGTCATGTGGTTTGTTTCGAGTGCAGCTGATACTCGCTACTTTCATACCGTACTCAACATAAAAACACTCTAAGTACTGCCAAATATGGTTTTCAGCAATCTGCTGGTAGTCTGTAATATTAGTATAGCAAAAGGAACCTACTTTACTCTATAGCTCTCCTTTTTCTGCCCATATTAGACTCCCAAAGGTAGTAGAATCTAGTGTTCCATTTGAAAGAGAAGTTGGGGCAGGATGAGAACTGGTATCCCCATTGTCAGTCAGATCTAATCCCAATTCTTGACTGAACACCAATAAATCCACCACTAACAGTGTCTGAATTGCTTTTCCTAGTCAATTCACTTTCAAATGTATCCAAAAAAGATCGATTTTTGGCCATTTTAGACCCACATGAGTAGCACAAGAGATAGATCTACACTGGCATTAGTGGCTTGTGTCCTGATCAACATTCAAAACATCCCTCTGTTTTGAAAGCAAAATACTCTTCTTCTAAGCAAGAATGGTAGAAATATTCTGATTGGTTGAAGGTTAGCCTTTTAGCCAATCACTTTAGGAAGCCCCAAATATTTAGTTGGAAGGCAGAAGCAGCAGTTTACTATATGGTCCTATGAGATTGGCCCTGCCAGTTTCATGGCAGGAAATGAGCCGATCTAATCGGCCCTTGCCAGAGTTAGGGTTAACACACAGTGCTCGGGAAGGCCCCTAAGAGTGTGTTTACACAGAGCGTGCGTTTACATGAACCTGTGCAAATGGAGGAATGGACACTATCATCTCATTTCATTGATATTTTAGTGACCCCCCTTGGGGCTGATGAGTCATTTTGGCCGTTTTGTGACGACACGTGACTGTTTTGTGAAGGATTCCCCGAAAGTGGTAATGAATTATAAATACAAAGGGGTTGAATGGGGGGGGGGGGGGCAGGAAAATTAATTCACTGTACTGATATGCACTATAAAATGTCAGAAACAGATATGAGGAAACTGTTCGTGATAGATCTAGTCATCGGGAAAAGCTCTCAGGCAGGTGGCTCAGACGACTTTCCAATTCCAAGCGACCAATCCCGACTGCCTGTCATCTATTGCAACTCAGTAAATGCATGGATGATATCAGACTTTTCTCTTGTGATTCCTTGAACAAGTAGGTTATAAGTTCTTTAAGTGCAGTTGATTACTTAACTAATCTTTAATAAGAGGCCAATCTAGTGTTTTACAGCATCCATGCGTGTTGCGCGTCACAGGTCTAACTAAACATGTATCCTGTCGCTCAAACACCAGTCAGAAATCTTCTCTCAAAGACGCATTTCGAGTGACCAATCAGAAGGCATTTCAATCCCCCTATCCTCCCCAACATATCACCCAACCAGTTCTAGAACTATGTGTCAGTGGATAGTTGGACGAGAAAACTGTCCATCGCTCTCTTTGTGGTGAGGGTCAGTCTCGCAGAATACAGGTATCCGGTTGTCTAGGCGTCTAGAGCTTGTCTTTTATGCAAGCTGTGTAGGCTGCAGCGAAAATTTTCCCTAGTCAAGCTTTGCCTGTCAGCGTGTTTCGCGAATTGAAGCGTGCGTTTAGAAGAAGTGACCATGCATTTGTACGTCTAAATTAGGAGAAAGTTTTGTCATATGACGAAAGTGTGCGTTTGACTGGAGCGTGCCTTTGTGTGACGTGCGTTTAGGCGGAGACTATTGTATTTAGGAAGGAAATGAAACGGGGATAACCAGATACACTGCTGTGTGCTGTGCTTGAGGTTCACTTTATCTGAGGCTTTCATGAATGCTGTGGAATTCTTTTTCTACTGAATGCCCTGTAAACCAAATCATTTTGTTCTTGGTCATAAAAAAACTGATTGAATTTTTTTTTAAATCTCCATTTCAGACGCTCAAGCTCTCCAGTTCCAGCAATATGGACGACATTTCTATTGAACAAGACTCCAGATCATCTTAGCCTCTGCTTGAGGATTTTTTGAGTTTTTTTTGGGGGGGTTACTACTTTATTTCATTTTCTCTTTGAATACATGCTGTTTCTGTGTTGTCTCCTGTCTTTGCTTGGTTATTTCATTTTATTGCCTCTGTATTATGTGGCTCAAGTCAGGCGGTAATAGGTAAATTTGTTGTGTTTTTTTTTTTTTGGGGGGGGGTGTTGTAAATCGTCACCTTATTGTATAGTAGTACCTGGCTTTTTTTTTTTGACAGTCCTGAATTTTTTTTGTTGTGATCAATTTTGTGATTCTGTTCAAGTTGACAACTTTTTCTTTGTGGTTTGATTTTCATACCAGATATTTGACTCTTGGGTGAGGTTTTAACACTGTAGTTACATAATGCCTGATGTATATCCTCTGATGTCAAATATGACATGCCTGTCTTGAACTGTAGATCTTTGTGTTTCTCCATTGTTGCAGAGGCCTCAGCCCCTTTATGATCTGTAGAATTTGATTTATTTTTTTGTTTTTCATGGGTTCTTTTGGTGGGGGGGTTACCTTCACCTTCCTTGAAAAATGCAAAATAGAATAAGTTTTATGCCCCTTGCAACACTGTAAGATAATAAGAGGCTGGACCTTCAAATTTTATTATCCGTCTCCAAAAGTACTAAACCAAATGGGAAACTTCATGTAAAATGTCTCTCCTAAGGACACGGCGTTGGACCAAGCTGAGCCTCAAACCCTCGAACCGACAATCTCACATTTATGAGTCTGGCAGCCTTACTACTAGACTTCCAACACCACCACTCTCCTTGTCCCTTTTCCTTTGATGTTTTTCAATCATCTTGATAATGTAGCCCTAGTGTTTCTACCTTTATTTTGGTAAAGTTTTGCATGTAGGCCTATAATCCAAATTCAGAAAGCGTTTTTTAAACTGAGATGCTGTTGCAACTGTATTGGGGAAAGAAATACAAATATGAAATTTCATACCTTCCTATGGTAAAAAAAATTATCACAAACTGACAAAGCCATCTAACATGAAATTCCTGCCATCTAACATGAAATTCCTGTGTGTTAACATGAAAAGATTTTAAAATAAATCCCCAACTTTTTATTTGAGTAGTAACATGAAAAACCATCAATTGAACAGCTACAACCTCACTGGACCTTCATTCTGTGCAGTCAAGGCATCTGTCTGGGGTTGAATGTTTCCCTTTTTTCAGTTTCCTAAAGTGGTCAGATCTGCATGTGTTCCGATTACACACAAAAAAAAGATCACACAAGGTCCAACAAGCCAACAAACAGTAAGAAAGGCACCTCATTACACTTCTACTTCATAAAAGCTGAAGGCTGAAGACAACAAATAGTGAATTTTGCAAGGGAAGGAAAGTTGTCAGATCCCCCAACAAAAGTCTCCAGCCAACATGCACAGTCTGTTTTTATCTTGCTACCTCTGTCGTGAACTCAATTCATTAAGATAAGATACATCTTTATTGTCCAGATCCTGGCACATTGGTTTGGTGTTTCACCACGTGTACACACACACACACACACACACACACACACGCACGTAGGCTTACAATCACACGCATAAAAAATTAGCAGTAATATAAAAAATAATCGTAAGCTAGATACACACTCAATGTTATTTTGATGCATGCTCTAAGGTCGTAATTCATTGGTGCATTACTTACACTTGTAGCACTATGGTCAAACATTAATCAAAAGTGGTTGGGAAGTTCCCTTCTATATGTTTTATTTATGCCATTGAACATCTTTAGTCAATCATAATGAAAGTGGTGGGAGAAGTAAATTGTATTTAAAGTTAAAGAAATATTGTTAGACTTCATCAGGAAATAAATGGGCCCACTTTTGTGAAATATTTAACACATGTATAAATTTTTGTTTTCTCTCAAATTATGTTTATTTTTATGAAGTTTTAAAATGTAATGTGACTCCCATAGCTTGACAATACACTGTTGGGATGTTCAATATTGTCAACATTTGCATGAATGAATTGGATTCTTAGCTTACGAACTAAAATTGTATTGTATTACATGTATGTAATAAAGAATGCTACGATTTTAAGAATTATCTTCTGCATCTTTTTTTTTGTGAAATTTTTAGTTTTATCACTTGTCTGTTGTATTTTAGTGTTGATATTTCAATGTGGAAAAAAAAAGTCAAATCTGATAGGCGTCATAATTATGTGTAGTAGCAAAAGCAGGCCCTACATTTTAGTTCATCTCTGCATGACCTTCACTGGGTTAAAATGCTTCTCATCAGACTCAAATTCTTTGAGCTCCTTGTGTTACATCCAGTGTATTATAACATTGTTGCTAGTTTGGGATGTCTCTAAATGTACATTCACCCTCATAAAGCACCAATGCTCCAGAAGAGAATTGAGAATAAACCAGAACTCTTTTTGTAGGCCTATACAGTCAAACCTGTGTAAGACGGCCATCCATTGTCAAGGAGAAAAGTGGCCATATATAAGACAGGTGGCCGTCTTAGGCAGGACTGATCAAGATGAAGAAAACAAACCATTCCCATCTGAGGTCCCAATCTAAAGTAGCCGTGTTGTTTTTGTTGATGTTGGTTTGTATTTTGTTTGCAATTTTTATTTTGTTGCTGATTTTGCACAAGGGTGACAATAAGACGAAATGTACCAGACGAGGAAGACCGAGTGCCATGTTAGTTAAACAAACACATGGGTCGCCAACACTCGGAGAATGAGCGACGCTTCTGTCGCAAGTTCAAGTTGACGTCCTTTGTTACTTTGTTACAGACTGGGTAAACAGTGACCACTCATCTCACTGACGATTTGTGTATGAGTTCTGGGCGGGACTTATGGCTTAAGAGGGATCACACGCTTACCTCACCAGCAGCTGAAAATTGGTCGCTATTGGTCAACAGTGGGAGGGGCCTACGCAACATGATCGGTTGGAGGGACTACCTAACAACAACGACAGGTGTTTGGATTATGACAGCTCGCCTACAACACCAGGGGCCAATTCACAGTTTATAAATATAAACAAAACGTAATGGAGTCACAAAGGTGGCCATCTAAGCGTACTAAGACAGGTGTTATAGCTTAGTGTGATACTTGGAGGTCCAAAATCGATAAGAAGAGTAGGCTTCGGCCACCACCTACGCAAATTTCAAAATTAATTCCTTCCAAAACCGAAAATGTTTAATAGTTCTTGTGCGCTCATATGACCTGATGCAGTTGCTAGCGCCGTAAAACACTCACCAAACAAACACATCAGATTATCACTAGCTGAAATACAGTCATTTCTACACTGAAAATAATTGAGCATCTTGTCTAAATCATTAATCTTCACTAACAACCCTCAAGTAACACAAATCATATAGTCTTACAGTACATTCTGTATGCGCTTCACTTCAAGATAATGAAACAGAAGAAAGAGACACTAAGTAAGACATACGTGTGTCAATTGCAGGCCAAAGAAAAGCATCCACATTGTACTTGTACTGTTCGCCTACATTTATCACACTCGCTAATCAGTTTACACAATGTATAGGTCTAGTGATGCAAGGATGGCGAATGTGTAAGTCTGCCTTCAACAATCATGGCTATTTGAGCAACCCTCTTCGAACTGAAAATGTGACACTGACAGTCCCACAGATTTCAACTTTCAACACAGACTCCGCTGAGCTTGTATATGGGGTATATATTATATAATATGTATAATTTCTGTCTGTACATTGGACTGCAGACAAACTATTGAATTCAAAGAAATGAAAGGAATAATCCAACTCCAGCATTTATGATGTAATAGTTAAGCTTTTTATATTACTACATGCAAAAAACTAAAGAACATTTCCCTGTAGGGAAGTTGTTTTATCAAGTATCTTTGTCTGTCTGCTGGAACACAGTAAGTATCCTACTCAATCAAGCTTGGCCCTGACAGTGGTGACAGGTAGAGTCGAGGCAGGTCACTTCGTCAATTACCTAAATTGAGTTGATGAAGAATTACAGTTTAACTAACAATCACAAAGACGTACTGCTTTTGTGCACACAAAACATGTAATCTGAGCTTCTGGTGCTCTGACTGAATAACCTTTTTTAAACAAAAATGTTGGTATCAATTTTTTTTTTAATTTATCAAAAGTATTAATTTAGAGTTTTATTTTGTGTCACATCATTCTTTGGACATGATTATATAAATGGCATAGTCCTGAATTGAATTTGTTTCTTTTTTAACGCTTCTACTTATGATGTATCAATTGGCTGTGAGTAATGTGTGGAGAAATGGGACCATCTTAAAAAAAACAACTAAATTCATATATTATACATATTAATTAACATAATTTAACAGGACTTATATTAATTTAATGGTTTCTCCAGAAGAATTACAAATCTTTTCTGGCATGTTACTTTCGTCCTTTAACTCTCAGAGATCAGATATTTTTTTTCAATTGATCTTGTCAGAAGCTCGAGGTTCTGGGCCTCAGAGGTGTCTGAGTGAATTGACTCTAAAGTCCCATTTTTAAATTATCCTTTTCAACTCAAATCAAAACCAAGAAAAGGATTTTAACTGTCATACATAAAGTATAAAGGTATGGTGCCTGCTTCACATGCCAAAGATATACCTTCTTTTTTATTTGAATTAGTCTGTGTTTGTATGTATGTAGGCATTTAAGAGTTAACACTCTTTTGTGGTAAAAATCTGATCTCAATAAAGTATCTACCACCTTGTCTTCTCAGCTGAGATCCTGTGTGTACCCCACTCATTGGGCACTGTGGCAGTTAACGAAGAAATCTAAATCTGCATTTTGGCAAAATCCAGATTTCATCCTAACCAAAAAACTCTTAGTAAAATAATTACTGATAATAGTAATAGTAAATAGTGCAGTTGATACCAGAGTCATACACATTGGCATCCAAAAGAAATTTGAAAATGTAATCACACAATCTTCATGTCAAAGCTTTGCACTACCCGCTCATGCAGCATACCAATTTTAAGCTAAATAGATTCTGCATCATCTGACACATAAGTATTTCATCTATGTTGCGAGCCACATGAGATATGGTCACTCAAAACTGATCTTAAAAAATCAGATTTGGCAAAATTTGACTTTTGGACGCCACTGTAACTGAACCTTTTTTTTTTTAATAGTAGAGAGTTTTACGGCGCTCGCAACTGCATAACATCATATGAGCGCCAAGGGGTGGGTGTCAAGAGAGAAGTCTTTACGGGGAATCATGCTCACCTCTCTAGCTTCAACAGCACATGGTCTGCTTCGACTATCAAGGCACCCCGGAAATAGCAGGATACAAGAGTGTGACAAACATACAAAATAAGTAGAGGAAAATGACAATAGTAAGGATTAGGAAAGAAAAAGCAGCAGTTCCCTGCTACAGATCAGGCACAGTTATGAGCGTGACATGATGAATCAGCCCATTTACAATTCTACTGTGCTTGAATGAGAAATGTCCCCCATTTCATTGGGAATGGCCTAAAGACAGTACAGTCAGCGGCACTGCCCCGGCGGGAGTAACTCAAAACCTCTGTATGTGACAAAGTTTGTACGGTTAATCCACTGCATACCAATTATACCACAAATACGCAAAATGCAAAGAAAGCATGAATTCAGAACAAAAAGAAATCTGCAAGATTTTATAATTTATTAATTTCTTTATTATTTATTATCGCCCTTAGAGAAAATAATGAAAGAGCACTTAAAATCAAGCACTCTGTCAGCTAGGATCTATCATGTGTTTTGATTACTGACAAAAATATGACAAATGTTCATTTTCTGTGGAGGAACGTTCCTACTTCTATCATTATTCTGCAAAAGTTTCAATGTGGTAGGCTTATAATCTTTTACACATAACGAAAAATAAAACATAATGTTCCAAACACTCTGATAAATCCAAAACCACTCTCAAATACCGCCAAAAAACAGAACATACAGTCTTAAGCTAACATACTTTGGCCGTAGTAACTAACGACAAGAATAAATAATGAACATTGCCTGGCAGGAAATCCCTGTTATAACATAAACACAACACTGAAAGTGAAATATGTAATAATAATAAATACAATAGTAGTAATTAACTGCATTTATATCCACATGCAAAAGCATGCCCGTGTGTATTTTACATCTATTGTATTACAATTACCCTAGTAGTAGACTCTAGAAAACACAAACAACAATCCCAGCTTCCAGGGAAGCATACAGTGCAAGGTGTGGATTACACGTGCACAAAAGAAATACTTAACAAACAAAGAAGATCTTTCGCTATCTATAGAAGGGTACCCATTCCCACCTGGGTGAAGAAGAGACAGTTTGTGTCAAGTGTAAACATGCTGCATACTGCCATCATGATAGTCATCATAATCATCATAATAACCCTGGTGTCACACTCCGCAGCTCATGATACACATGTGCACACATAATAATAGACAACGCTTTCACTTACAACTTACATTGATAACTTTTTACTTTTACATAGTATTTTTTAAATTAAAGATCACATCAGACAAAGTGAAACAAGAATGCACATATGTTTTTTTTCTTACTTTTGATATTTCAAACAATGTGAAAGACATATTAGCTTAGCATTATGCATACCACAATATAAAATATATCAATTGTATACTTTTGATATATGCCTCCTTCAACACAATCCAGACATTATGGGGCAGGGTCATTTCCACTTTCCTGGCATCTGTGGTGTAGTGTTAGATGCTTTGCTGTCCCATGCAAAAGACTCTAGGTTCATTCCCCAGAGCGCCAAATTTTTATTGAGTATTGGTATTTCTGCTAGGATGTTATACTTGCATATATACCTCTCAGATCAGGGTGTCCCTGACAGACAGGGTCAGAAACCCATCTTAATTATCTAAATTGTGTTGATGGGGCCGTAAAAACACCTACACTTTTTATCAAAGTTTACTTCCACTCTGCCTGTCACAGTCAGGGCCAACTAAGGCTTAGTGGGATAGGGTATCCATGCAGAAAGATGGAGACATTTCATCAAATAGATTTTTTCTCCTCCAACGAACCCAACAAGCATTTTTCAAGCAATGGCAAATACTAATAATAGCCTAGCCATAACAACACCACACTCTGCTTTGATCAGTGTCAAAATGTCTGAAAGAAATCTATGTATGTACAATGAAAGTAAAAGTAGACGTGTACTAAACTTTTAACTACAAGTATTCTCATGTAGATCTAAACAGAATATCAATTCTGATGATGGGGTAAACTTCAAGTACCAGTAGGACCAGGTGCTTCTCCAGGTGTAGAATGTTTCTCTGGTAAAAATGTATTTGTACTCATAAACCAGTTCTGATTTTTTTTTCTCTCCTTCTACAAGAGTACCCATACTTGACAGTAACTTGTCTACATGTGACTGTGTAAAGTGCATGGATTTAACATCCCTATCAACACTTAGCTCATTTGGCAGGACCTCCAAATGTAACGCCCATCTCTGATTTTTTATTTTCATTTATTTATAATGTTACTCATGAATTGAAGTGAAGACCACACTCTTTTGCAATCATGTTGAAAGTCAGTAGAATGATTAGCAAACTTGTACTTCAATCGATGCTTGAGTATTGTCAACAGTGTGGATTTGGAATGTCATTAACGAACAAAGTTGAGTCTCTAATCAAGCTTGTTTATGTCTACTACTTCTTCCTCTTACGTTGTCAGTTTTTTGTCAAGACAAAGTGGTGTAAGTTTTCTTTTTACCATGGGTCCAGTTTTAGAGAATCACAAGAAAACAAAAGGAAAATCAGCAAAACATTTCCTCACCTGCACAGAAATATAAAAGTTACTGACTGAGACAAACTCAAGCACAAAAGTAGCCAACTTTCAGTGGCTGAGCTTATGCACAGTCAAGTCAATATGAGCAAAACACAAAACAGAGTTGAAAGCTATAGAATAGGTGAACTACTCCCAAGTCTTGTTTTGACATACAACAATGCATTTTCATTTGCCAAGGTGTAAGTGAACTTCACTTCACACAGGAAACAATAAATAGAGAAAATTATGACAGAGAACAAGAATACGCAGTGAGAGGGGTAAGTTGCATTTGTCTTCAGCATTGCTTGGAAATGTATTTGAGAAAGAAAAGGCAAGGTAAAAAAAGTCCCTGCTGTCTTAACCTTTCAAGAAAACTTTCATAGTCAGAATCAGATGAGACTTTTTAAATTTGATTTTAACAATAGATACTTTATCTCTGCTAAAATGATAACAATGCAAGTAGAAGAAAGAACATAAGATACAGAAATTGCGACTCGATTCATGTTAATACATCACAAAAATATGTAATTGAAAAAAAAAAGAAATCAAAGGAGACCAATCCATCAGCGAGTTGTTGAAGCTGTGTCCACTCTCATGTTCTCTAGAACCCATCTCTCTAAGTCAAAAGTGTACTGCAACAGAAAAAAGGGTGTCTGATGAGAATTTTTTCCCTGTAAAAAGTCCACTACCATGCACTATCATCAGCCATGGACTTAAGTTTGCAAAATACTGATGGGGCTGACAAAAAGTGCTAAAATACCGTAAAGATATTTATTAAGGCAAGGTGATTAAGTCTTTCAAATAAACTACACATGCACATTTCTCTCCTCACCTGCTAACATTCATTACCAACTATCTCTTTTCCTTCATTGATTCATCTCTGTATTTTCTTAAAAGTCTCAGAAACATAATATCTAGGGCTTCTTGTGTATACACTAGTATCTGAGATGTAGTGACTTGCACACTGAAGATACGAGTTCAATTTTCATTAGGGGTGGGGTGGGGGAGATAACATTTTATGTTATCATAAATATATTCTCCATCTTTTAACAGGAATGTAGCATCTCCACAGATCAGGTTGGGCCGTGACACATGATCAAAGCAGCCTGTCTCATAGCCATGAATGATCTAAATTGAGTCAATGGTGGTGTAACACATTTACACTCAAACTTCAACTGTATACACACATGGGTAAATGTTAAAATTATATTCTACTTACCGCTGAGGCTTCTCCGACTGCTCTAGAATCACTTATGTACATATTTGCAAACTGAGGACCAAACCAAAACGTAAAGCAAGTTATTCCATCATCATAGACAGGCGGACTAAAATTTCAGCATTGCGTAAAAATTTCTCCAACATCAAGGGCATTCAACATTTGGTCCTTCAACCTACAGTGTCAATTTTTTTATTTACACCTAACAAACAGAACATTCTTCGACTTGAATACATATACAGTATCTGTCCCCTTTCATTTTCAGGACCAATTATATATATATGCCTCTTCAGCTTTAGGCAGCCAACCTCTAAAGGCCTAGTACTATTCTTTGATTTTCAACTGTCAAGGTACCTTTACTGAACACAGTGTGAACACAAGACCTCAGACTTTACTATCCTTAACAGACAAGACTGAGTCCTGTGTCCTGCCAACTGTGATCAGGAGACAGACGTAAAAACCAGTCATTTATCAACCATACCCACAATAACTGGTTATTGAACCATGTACTTTGCACAGAGAAGTTCACACCTCACCTCTAGATGGTACCCATCTACAGTTCAAAAGACGACTATTCACGCTAATGCTTAATTTAAACTTATGTAGCACGACAATGTAAATTACACTGTCACTTCAATAGCAGACAAAAAGTTCCTCTCTAAGTTTAGATCTTTTCACAGAAAATACATTCAAACTACAGCACATTTGTTAACAGAAAGTGTTGACATAGTAGCACTGTTTCTCAAATTTCTGAAGGCCATCTTTTGTCTCATAATTATTCATAACTTCCAACTTCATATTTTAATACATGATACAACCTGTCTTGTGCAGCACCAATGTGAACAAAATTTAAAATTTAGTTAAAAGTTGGAAATTTATGTCATACCCGGGCAATGAAATTAGTTTGCTCTTGGAAAGGTTGATATTTGTCAGCAATCTTGAACTGAACACCAGACAATTCTGTGAATCCACGTCCAACTGTAAAAAGAAATTATTGCATTTCACCAATACAGAATAATTTGGAGACAAGAGAAAAGTGAATGCTTGCAGAACACAAAACATTTTTCAAAATGTGTGTAAACAAACAACAGACCACAAAAAGGTGGTCATCTTAAGGTGGAAAATTTATTACAGGTTCTCAACCATGTATCTTTATCAATAGAATTCAAATTTACATTCATCACAGAAGTAAGAAAAAAGAAGTTCACAAACAGAAATGTGAAAAGCAAAGAAGAAGAAAAGAGAGATAGAAAGATGCCTGCAAGAGGGCCATGACTTTGACAGGTTTAAAATCTGGGACTGGCGATGGAAGAGGGAAGTCAAGGCCAGTCGCAGTCTTTTTTAACTCACTCCTACCAACAACAATTAATTTCATGGATTTTCCAAAACAGCCAAAATTAAATTTGTACTGTAATTCTGAATTCGCTGCAGTTTTTGTATCACTGATAATTTTGGATCTGGACAAGGCGACCTTATTCACGATGCCAAAAAAATTAACCATTATGCCGTTCCAGCCTAAAGGAGAACTCAGATAAACGAGAAAATAGCAGCTTTGAATGCTGTTTGCAATTTAAAAATGATCTTGCTCACTTCACCCTCTATACCTGGCTTTCTTCCATTCTTCGAACGACTTTTACTTTCAAATTTTCTAGCGTTGCTGGGTCCGCACACGGGAAGAGAGGATTGAAGTCGAGTTCCGCACGCTGAGCAAGCGAGGCCTTGTCAACTGAGGCTGTTTTGCTATGTGCTCGCCTTCGCCCTCCGTAAACTCTATTGCATTCAGAGCACCGCTGCATTATTTTTCACACGAGTATTCCTGCGCTGCTTCCTCGTTCACTTTCAGTTTGAGCGACTGTAGTACTTCAGTCGTGCCTCTGTGCCAATGGTGGATGATTCCGAGTGCCTTGACGGCAGCCCGCAAACCATGTTCACGGCGTAGCAACTGCGAACATGAATTGCTCTCACCCATGACCTGGTGATGATCGAACTCCTTTTATTAAAATTTTGGAAGGACTTCCATAACGAGCGACCATCCCAACAAACACAATAAAGAAGAGACCTAACCCTTACCGTAACCATCCTATCCCTACCCCTTGCCTTCTATTCTACTCTGTCTCATGTATAGTGGTCGCCAGAGCTGGTAGTAACGGAGTACAAGTACTCCGGTACTTGTACTTACGTTACAATTTTCGGTACTTTTACTGTACTCCGGTATATTTTTGAAACCAGTACTTTTACTGTACTCCGATACTTTTTATAAAAGTACTTTTGAGTACTTTTGAGTACTTTTGAAGTACATTTTGAGTACTTTGGTAGCTTAATGAAAGGGTAAGTGCAGGCATTTCTGATCATAATTTACGGAACAAAAACCCGATCAACCGCCAAGAGTTAAAAGTTGAGATCAAAGAACGGCCCGTCGCCTCAAAGATCAGCCACTATCGTGAATGTGATCACAAGCGTTGTAAAACTCCATGAAACGGTACAGTGTTTGCTCCAGACGGGATCACACCAAGGTGTGAACTGACCGATGCGTTTCTTTTCCCCAAACATCGCACTCGCATCTGACCTCACCACCTAAACTTACATCACTCCCTGGGTGGGTAGGGCCTACAAGTTCGCTCCAGGCGGGATCACATCAAACTGTGAACTCTTCCCTGACCATTGAAAGCAGTTTTTCTCGAATTTGCGAGACAACCTGAATTTTAATTAGTGTGGTCACATCGTAATGGTGCGTAACGACAAAGGAGGTGGGGGTGGGGGGGGGGGGGGGGGGCCCAATCCGAGAGGAAAGCAAAAATTTTTGGACAGGTAAAGGGGAGGGGCAACACTGGGATAAACCGTAGGATACAGATCTCCCCCAAGACTCACGATAGGCTAATGAGTGTGTATATATAATATTATTTATGGCATGCCTCATGCCACTGTGATTGGTAATCAAGGTTGACCACTCTTTGCTTGCCAAATGTCATAAATCCACCCAGGAGTCACGTCAGTTCATGGGTCACTGTAGATTCTTCCTTGGCTTCGTTGGCTAAGATCCCATATTTTCCTTGCTTCCGAGCACTGGGATCTTAGGCGGAGACTACTGCAGTAGAGAATCTTTGGTTACACTACACTTACTAGACTCTAGGAAACGATTGTATTTTGGTTTGCCGTTGGCGCCGTGGACTACACAGTGTGACCAAAATCTGTCAGACCACTATAATCAATTGAAACTGAAACTGTGTTCTCAATGTGTATCTAACAATTTTTAGGCTGTCTAAATTTCTTTTAAACTTTTTTTTGGGTGGTTTTTGCTTAAGGCTACATTGATTCCTTGAGGATTTGTTAATGAAGAATTCAATGCACTTTTCCATTTCTATGCGGGCCATTTTCATCAATTTTATGTTTTCTTAAGAGCAACTTTGTATCTACATTTTTCAATTTGGATACTCTTTCTGTAGAACTTTCCAACCTCTAGGACTGACTTACATTTGATCACATTGTCTTGCTCAAACAAGTTCTATTCATAATAGCACTTACCCACTAGTTGCGTCTGTTCGTTTGGGTTGTTTTATGTTCAACTTCACGGACCATTTCCACCGTTCAGTGCGTACATTGTATATTCAAATGCTTTGTATACTGTTTACATTTTTAGTAATAAATAGCCTAATTTGTCAAATATACTGGATAAGTTATAAAATATGATGTTTTGAATAAGCGCTGAAGTGTTTTAGCATATTAGCAGAAAGTACTTAAAATGTACTCATAAGTACTTTTTTAAAAAGTACTTGTACTCAAGTACATTTTATAGGAAAGTACTTTTACTGTACTTAAGTACATTTTTTAGATTGTACTTAAATTTGTACTTAAGTACTTTTTAAAAAGTACTTTAACAGCTCTGGTGGTCGCTCGTAACGAAAGTCCTGTCTAAATTTTAAAATTCTTCTAAACTCAAGACCTCAAAATCTTGCTCGGTTTCTAATTTACTACTAAAAGTCTAAAGATATGATGGCAGTGATATTTATTTATAAAGATATGGCAGATAATAGATATCCACTGATTGTGATCTCAATCTCTAAATCAAAATAGGCCTACTCTAGACTTAGCCAACACAAGGCACCAGAAAAAAATGAAGGTTCTTTTTTTACTCACGCTCCCGTCTCATGTACACGTTTTATTTACTTTTTTTCTAGATCTAGAATCTAAATCCAATAACATTTGCCATGCTGAACACAAATAAAAGGCCTTCATTTTTGCCGCAAATCAATAGTTATTGATGTTTGAAAACAGAACTAGATCTATATACTATTATTACAGTAGGCTAGGACCAGTGGCATAGTCAGGCGCGGTTCGTCCATTGAGCACGGTCGTGCAGTGCCGCCCAAAATTGTAATGTTCTTTTACGTAAAACACCTACAATAACAAAATAAAAGACGCCAGAAACAAACACTAGCCAAATATTATATCAAAATCAAAATACGTTTCTCAGTGGCGGCGTAACTGTCATTTCTGTGTCTATAGCACCGTAAAACATCTACTATGCCATGCCAAAGTTCATGCGCTGTATCTATGCATAGCAGGATATTCAACAGTGGAAACCTGACCTATAATTCGCTCTTTGGGATAACCCAAGCGATGACGACACTCGTAGCGAGTTTGTCGGTACATTAATATTAATAAGACGGTACATCTCAAATGTGCTCCTGCCGAATAGTGCCGAAACATAGGCCACAGTAGGCAATCTAAAAATAAACGCGATAGACTGCACTATTCTATGCCAAAATTATGTCAGCCCCGGAGCAATCCAGCGGAGTGCTCAAGTGAATTCTGATTGGTTCATTGTCTTGCCGCTATTTTAAGTGACTCTGTGACCGTGAACCTGAGGGAGGTGAACGTGACACACTTAAGTCATCGTCCTATGAGTTGTGCTTTTGAACGGTTTTGTAGTGGAGTGGTGAAAGGTATTACTTGAGTGTTCAGTTCTAAAGCAGGATGAATGAAATTGACGTTTAGCTAACAAACAGATCTAGTTCTAGAAGTCAAAGCCACAAGTAAAAAGAATGAAAATAGAATCACAAGGTTCTCCCTCACCAAACCAAAGATCCTAAAATTATACACCATCTCATTTACTATGCCCTTGACTATCTTCAACCTAAGATAGCTTAATTGTGCACACCCACTTTTTAGACCCACGAGCCGCCCCTGGGCATAGTCTAGTAGGCCTAATATGATGACTAGTTTTTACCAACATGGGGGGTTTCGGGGCATGCCTTCCTGCATTTCACAATGATTTGATGCTTTGGCAATTAAGATTGATATACTTGGGTATTTTTTTACTTTCCCTCCCGTCTCACACTCAGCTACCAGTTGTATAATTTCTACTAAATATTGATGAGCTGAACACGAATATCAGCTTCATTTACGTCGCAAATTAATAGTTTTTGAAATATTTGATTGTTTTTAACCGAGATCGACATGCTTTGGACCAATCGGGGGATTCCAGGGAGGCCTGCCCCACTGGGGTAAAAGAAAATCTGGGGGGGGTTACAAGGGGGCATGCCCCCCCCCCCCCTGTTTTTACCCATAATTTGATATTTTAGTTAGATTTGAAATTGTCTTGAAAATAATTGATTTGATTTGCGACAGTTTTAGTGGCTTTATGTGTGATCTGCAGCAAACATTACTGCAGTTTGACCCCTGAAACAGTGCATCTGTGTGCGGGAGTGAAAGTAAAAATTTACCTTTACTTGAATACATTTGATTTGCAAGGATTTTTTAGAGGGGCCATGCCATACACACGCGTGTTCTGCAGCAAAAATTATGGCAGTTTAGCCCTCAAATCAGTGCACCTGGCATCTGTGTGTGCATAATGATAATATATGATAAATAAGAAGTAAAAATTTACCAAAATAAAATAATAAAAAAACGCAAAGGGCAGGTGGACTCATAATTACAGTGTAACACAGGAAAGGCACAATCACAAAGGAGCTAGCATAGATCTACTAGACTCTACTAATCGATCTAGATCTAGATCTAGATCTAGATTCTAGATCTTCTAGATCTATATATATAGATCTAATCTGGTCTACATCTAGATATAATATATCTAGACTCTAGATCTAGTCTAGATCTAGATCTAGATCTAGATTCTATAATCTAGAAGACGAAGATCTTTCTGATCTGTCCTTAACTGTACTTAGTCGCACAGGACAGGACTGGTACTGGTACCGGTAACAAAACTCACTTGTTTGATATCTTGTTTCATCGAATTGGTAAATGTTATTATTCGACGAAGGTACCAAGCGTTCCATGGTGGTCGTAACTGGCGGACCGACAAAATTTCTTCAATGCACACACACACACTTCAATACACTGAGACCAGTCAGAGTCGGTGCGGTGGGCAGGTAGGGTCCTTCCTTGTTTTGTTTCCTTTTATCCAGCAGCAACTTCCGACTTTTCTACCATCCACTTCCTTGTTTCTACGCTCTTCAGCTGCTCTTTCTTTGTTCTTCTCGGAAGGAGTGAAAGCGAAACCAGTTTTAAAAGGAGATAACTCTATGGTGCTGACCGACAAGAAACAAAACGTGTGTGTGTGTGTGTGTGAGAGAGAGAGAGAGGGGAGAGAGAGAGAGAGAGAGAGAGAGAGAGAGAGAGAGAGAGAGAGAGAGAGGCTTTTTTTCGTATCATCTGTTTTATCATTATATAATAAAATAGAAGCAACAGAAGTGTTGTTTCTTATGAGAGACTGCTGAGAATATTATTCGCAGAAGGAAAAGAAATCAAATGAGTTAGTGCTTGTGATGAAGCCCACGTGGAGCGCTCACTGTTAAAAACAACCAGGAAACGACAAATGCAGTTTGGGGGACACCTGAATAGACAATGTCTTGAACATCTAGATTTTCTAATTCTCGAAGGCAAGCGAGGCAGGGGTAGGCCCAGAGCAACCTACTTTGGGAACGTAAACATGGGAAACGGGGGAACGACCATGGAAACGTAGATTTTCTAACCTTTTTTAATGAGCATCCGAGCAAAGGAATGAATGGAGAACCATGATCGCCGATGTCTGTCACAGATCTGGCACTGGATGAATGAATAGTAGGGGAACTTCGATTTGATTTTTGAACAAATTCCAAATTATACCAACTCCAACTTGTTTCCGAGATAGATCCAAATATCATACTATTATAAGTATTTAAGGAAGTCTTTGCCCCTCTTGAAAACCCTTAAGCTGAAGCTGTTTGGGGGGGGGGGGATTATTCACACTCAAAATGTTACACAAAAGCTTGTGTGCATAAAAAAAAATGTGCCCCCCCCCCCCCCCCTCCTTTTTTTTTTTTGCCCCTCCCTGTTTCCACGTATTTGTTGTGGGGGGTGGAAGGTCTTTTTCCAAAAGCCGGGTTTAAGCGGCGTCCTTTTAAGATTCTTCTTCGCGCTTTCTTTTTTTTTCCAAACAAAAAAACTTTTAAATAATTTTTTCTCCTTTTTTCGGAGATTTTTTGGGGGGGGGGGGGGGGGGGGGGGGCCTTTATTTTTCCGTGGAAAGGGTCAACGGTGGGCTTTTTTAGCATTCCTAAAAATATAAGCTAATAATACGCATGCCAATAAGTTTAAGCCTAGATCTATACAATAAACGTTTTTTTTTTTTTTTTTCCCCCCCCCTTTTTTTTTGGGGGGGGGGGGGGGGGGGGGCGGGGCGTAAGTATTTTACGGCGCTCGCAATTGCATTATGGTCATATGAGTGCGCGGGACACCCCAAACATTTTCAGTTAGTAGGAAATTTTGAGTTTTGCCCGGGTGGCGCCGAAGCCTATTCTTATCGAGTTTAGACCATCAAGGGATGTTTAACGTCGAAAGAGTCAAACGTAGGCTATTATAGTAGTCCTATAAATATAGGCTAATATAATATGCATGCCAATTTAAGCTTATACAACTAATGTATAGTTTTATACGTGTAATAATTGTCTGTGTGGGAAGTATTACCCCACTGGGTTCGTGTGGGTGAATTATATATTATTATAATACATAATCTGTTCTGCATAGTCGCAGTCAGAATTTATAATCATCAGTCGCCGTAGCCTTCATTACTTCATGTCACACAACATCACTGGTCACCCAGCTTTTCGCCTGATAGAGCGAACAATTATATTTGTATTGGGCTTGATTCCAGCCCAAGAAGTTTTAAATTCAGTCTATGACTACGATATGTTTTTTTTGGTGTGTTTAATCGAGGCTTATTATACTTTAGTAAGTTTTAGCTCATGGTAAACAATTAATATACTTGCTATTGTCAGAGTTAAAAGTAAGAGCAAGAGCAGTGACACAGTTAACTGGAGGCTATAGCGCTGGAGGATGTTCTTGTAGTATATGTATTATGATGTATCTTTAATTGGACACCGTCTCGCTCATAAGCTAAACGCTCTCTGCATGAAAAAATTTTTGTTCAGAGTTGGTTATTCACAATGTTGATGTTGGGTAGAGATTACTGTGATGTAGCGAAGCGATGCACATTTGGACATTAAAATTGGCATTTAGGAATTTGAACAAATAAGGCGGGGGGGGGGGGGGGGGGGGGGGGGGGTGCACGAGGCTACGTGATAGAGCGTCGGAGTTCGAATCCGAGCAACCCCTTCCTCAAGCCCCCTGCATACACTCACATAGACGACCACTATAAATATAATATCTATTATAATATTATCGCTGTCGCTCTATACTTTTGCGCACTTGCAGCGGATGGTATAAGATTAGTAAAGAGCACGGCAACACAATAACGGCCATTTGTTGCAGAAAAGAGGTAAAAAGGCGGAAGGAAAGTGGTAAAGGTGTCGATCTCAACCTCGATACTGCAATAGTCTACCCCTCCCCCCCCTCCCCCGCGTATTTCCGACACACTACATTTACATTTGAACGGTATACTCTCTTCAAAAAGTCAGGGAGCACAACCACATGTGCGGTGGAAATGGGTACCCCCCCCAAATCCTCCAGTGCCAGATTTGCGACAGTCATCGATGACCATGGTTCTCCATTCATTCATTTGCTCGGATGCTCTTAAATTTAAAAAAATAATAATTGAAGGTATTGATACAAGGCTCAGTAACGAGAGTGTTCTCCAATATTATTATTAGCCAAGCACTCCCTGTGCCTGCCGTGCAGCCCTGGCATTGAGGAAAATAGGACTGATGTGGTGCTAGTGTGTCGTACGAGCCGACTAAATTATGGCGAACCAGGTAGTGACTCCCGAAACAGTCATCCTCCCTCCAGGTCGAGGGTTGAGTCACGATGACAACAGCCTCTTGCTTAAAAAGAACCTGTTACAGAGACACATACAAGCTAAAATCATTAAATATCTGCTTGGCGCTTGGCTAGTCGTGGATTTCCTCCAAAATGAGAGTTTATGGTGTGAGGCAGTGAAAGCTGAAATAAAGCTGCTGTGCAGAAGCTTCCACCATCATCCAAGTCCAAGTCTATCGAGATTGGATAGGGGAGCGTTAGAACCCTTAGTGAGGCTGGGAAAACCGCACAGGTTCTCCAAGAGATGCACCGATACCACCTACACATACTGGGAATCAGCGAAACCCACTTGAACTAGTCTGGACAGAAGCGAATGAAGGAGGGGGAGTTTTTCATTTTTCAGGAAATGGCAGTGATGGACAACTCAGGGAAGGAGTAGGGAGGATCATATTCAAAACAGCTCAAAAGACTTTCAATGGCTGGGAAGCGCACGGTCCAAGGATCATCATGACCTCTTTTGGAACTAAGAAAGAACTCAAGAAAAGAGATGGTAGGAAGAAGGTCATAAACATGAGCATCATACAAGTGTATGCCCCAACCAACGTTAAAGAAGAGAATAAAGATGACTTCTACAACCGCCTGCAGAGTGTGATCGACAAACTTCCAAGACCTCAACATTTTCATTGGAGACCTAAATGAGGGAGGTAGGTAGGGACAATAGTCACTGTGAGGAAATCATGGGCAGACAAGGATTAGGAGAGGCAAATGACAACGGAGAAAGATTCCAGAACTTCTGTGCATTCAACAACTTGGTTATAGGAGGAACAATCTTCCTACACAAACGGATGCATAAGGCCACTTGGGTCTCCTCGGATGGAACAACGGAAAACCAGATTGACCATTTTTGCATTTCCCGAAAGTTTAGACGCTCACTGGAGGACGTCCGAGTCTTACGAGGAGCAGACGTGGCATCAGACCACCATTTGATCCTTGGAAAGATGAAACTGAAATTGAGAAGGTATGAACAAATCATAACTGGAAGTCGCCAAAAGTATGAAGTGAACCTTCCGAAAGACTCAGTAAAGAAAAATGATTTCAAGTTGGAACTGAAGAACAGATTTCAAGCCCTTCAAGATCTGGATGAATGTGAAGTCAACGAACACCATGCTCTCTGTCATCTTAGTTGTAGCTGCCGTGCCAGAGAATTGGGTTATGGGGCAGATCTAAGAGTAAAAGCGCATTCCTGTGTTTAATTTAAATCTCAGTTTAATTAAGAGCAGGATGTGAAGGGCTTATTTCTACGGGTAAGGGGTATATCGCCATCTCCCCCCCCCTCCCCCCACCCGTCCTTTCACAGACAGGAAAAG